GGGAGGGGGAGGGGGAGGGGGAGGGGGAGAGGGAGGGGGAGGGGGAGGGGGAGAGGGAGAGGGAGGGGGAGGGGGAGGGGGAGAAAGAGGAGGAGGAGGAGGAGAAAAAAGGAAAGAAAGAAAGAAAGAAAGAAAGAAAGAAAGAAAGAAAGAAAGAAAGAAAGAAAAGAAAAGAAAGAAAAGAAAAGTCGGGCGGTGGTGGCGCACGCCTTTAATCCCAGCACTTGGGAGGCAGAGGCAGGCGGATTTCTGAGTTCGAGGCCAGCCTGGTCTACAGAGTGAGTTCCAGGACAGCCAGGGCTACACAGAGAAACCCTGTCTTGAAGAAAAAAAAAAAAAAGAAAGAAAGGAAGAAAGAAAGGAAGAAAAGGAAGAAGGAAGAGGAGGAAAGAAAGCCCAAGAGAAGTAGAAGCACCTGTAATCTTCACTTCCTAAACTAGGAGTACTGATATCTGGTCACACTTTGGAAAAATTAAGTAAGATTAACCAAACTCCAGCCTGAGTCAAGCCTGCTTCCAAAACAGAGCACATAAAATTAAAAACCAAAGCTAGCTTTTCCTCCAGCAAGATTAAGACTGCCTTGCTCAAAGCACATCATCCACCGTTCGCGGTACGCGGATCAAAGTCTCTCCTCAAAAAAAAAAAAAATCTACCTAAAAGAATTCCATAAATACAGCTGAGTAAGACACCTTTATATTATTTATACATATTTGTATTTGAAAAGAAATGGAATCAAATAAAGGCATTGGGCTGAACGTTATTGGAAAATCCACCCCCAACCCTGTACAAAAATGTGTATTAAAAACAGCTTCACTTTCAAATTTAATAACTATCCCCCAGCCTTTAAACTATGAAAACAAGTTAATCTCATCTTTTATTAGGTTTATGTCAGTATCTCCTGTATCCGCATCTGGGAGGGACCAAGCCAAGCCATCTTAGCTACTTCACAAGTCGTGTTTTTCTTCCTTAATGTTTCCTATGTTACAAATTAAATATTTTTAATTATATGTACATGTGTGGGTGGCAATGTAAGTGCACATGAGTGCAGTTACCCATGGGGGCCAGAAGAGGGCGTCATGTGTCCTATATCTGGACTTACAGGCAGTTGTGAGCTACTTGATGCCAGTGTTAGAACCTGAACTCCAGTCCTCTATGAGAGAAGTATTTGCTTTTAATTGCCAAGCCATCTTTCTCATTTCTTAATTTAAAACAAACAAAAGGGGCTAGAGAGATGGCTCAGTGGTTAAGAGCACTGACTGCTCTTCCAGAGGTCCTGAGTTCAAATCCCAGCAACCACATGGTGGCTCACAACCATCCATAATGAGATTCGATGCCCTCTTCTGGTGTGTCTGAAGATAGCTACAGTGTACTCATAAATAAAATAAATAAATCTTAAAAAAAAAACCCAATTGATTTAGATTTATTTATTTTGTGTGCGTTTATGATTTGCCTGTACGTATGTATACCACATGCACACTTGCAGCCTGCAGATGTCATAAGAAGGCATTAAATCCCCTGAAACTGGAGACAAAGATGATTGGTGGGCTGCCATGTGGATGCTGGGAACCAAAGCTGGGGTTTCTGGAAGTGGAGTCAGTGCTTTTATGGATGAGCTGTCTCTCTAGTCCCTCAATGTTTGTGTCTTTCTTTTTTTCCCCTCCCCCTTCCCTTCTCCCTCTCACTCCAGCCCCGCTCACTCCTTCCTGCCCAAAGGTTTTTTATTTATTTATTATTATTATTATTATATATAAGTACACTGTAGCTGTCTTCAGACACCCCATAAGAAGGCATCAGATCTCATTACGGATGGTTGTGAGCCACCATGTGGTTCCTGGGATTTGAACTCATGCTCGTACCGCTGAGCCATCTCACCAGCCTGTTTGTTTGTTTCAAATGCCTGGTGACTATCCCTGGAAGAGGGCTGTCTGAGCAGAGATCTGGCTGACCCAGAGTAGTGGGAGAACCTGAGATGGCACTGCCTACCTCACTGTCAGATGCTTGCCTCCTGCCACCGATGCTTTTTGCTTCAAAATTGGATTCCACTGCTGATAGTCAATACGTTGTTTCAAGCACTGTGCGTTAGTTTTGGTTTTTTATCATATTATTTATTTGTTTGAAAGGGGTTTGTGCCGGGCAGTGGTGGCGCATGCCTTTAATCCCAGCACTTGGGAGGCAGAGGCAGGTGAATTTCTGAGTTCGAGGCCAGCCTGGTCTACAGAGTGAGTTCCAGGACAGCCAGGGCTACACAGAGAAACCCTGTCTCAAAAAAAAAAGGGGGGGGGAGGGTTGTGCACATACCTGAGCCATGTGTATTTATTTGGGCTGTGTGTGCACATGCTGCGAGCCATGTGTGGAGGTGGAAGACAACTGGAGGTACTCGGTTCTCTCCTTGCTCTATGCGGGATCTAGGGACTGAACTCAGGTCATTAAGCTCAGAGGGAGGCGTCAGTAACCCACTGAGTGATGCATCTCACCAGCCTCCACTGGGGTGAAGTAAAAGCCTGATAAATAGCTGAACAGGCAACATGTCTGCCACTCTCCACCAATAATAATAATAATAATAATAATAATAATAATAAGAGTTAAAAGGTAGGGGAAGCCAGGTTTTCGTAACATAAGCATTTAATCAACATTTGAGAGGCAGAGGCAGGTGGATCTCTGTGTTAGAGCTCCAGGGCAGCCAGAACTGCACAGAGAAACCTGTCTTGACAAAACGTGGGGGGGTGGGGTGTTTGACTTCACCCACAAGATTTAAAAAATATGTTATTTTAAAAAAAGCGGGGCTGCCGGGCAGTGGTGGCGCACGCCTTTAATCCCAGCACTTGGGAGGCAGAGGCAGGTGGATTTCTGAGTTCGAGGCCAGCCTGGTCTACAGAGTGAGTTCCAGGACAGCCAGGACTACACAGAGAGACCCTGTCTCGAAAAACCAAAAAAAAAAAAAAAAAAAAGCGGGGGGGCTTGTTTTGCACTGAAGCTTTTCAGGTATCCATGCTGGAGAAATGCAGTCCACAACTGTGCCATAGCACCACAGTCTAACTGACTTCTTTCCTGTCCCCAACCCCCACTGGAAGGACAGCGGAGGAATACATACCCACTGCACCTGTGCTGTGTCCTTCATTGCCTCGGTGAAAGCCACGGCAAACCTGGTCAATGGATAGAGATAACAGTCAATTAATTAGAATGGAATTAGTCAGTTAACACAACTGAGACACAGCTCTTCCCAACAGCCCGTGAGAGGCGGAGACAACACAGTTCTAAATTCCATCCATTGTCATGACTCCCCGGTCACTACCCATGAGACCCCATCTTCACCCACACCAGAAAAGGTTGTACATAGGAAATAAACTCAACGGTGCTCAAACCTTCGTTTATCTTGTTCCTTTCGAATCATGCAGGGGAAGTAGAGATTAAACCGCTGGGCGGTGGTGGCGCACGCCTTTAATCCCAGCACTTGGGAGGCAGAGGCAGGTGGATTTCTGAGTTCGAGGCCAGCCTGGTCTACAGAGTGAGTTCCAGGACAGCCAGGGCTACACAGAGAAACCCTGTCCTGGAAAACCAAAAAAAAAAAAAAAAAAGGAAAACTCAAAGACCAGGCTAGGGAGATGGCTCCAGTAGTTCAAGAACATTTACCGTTCTTCCAGAGGACTGGGGTTCAGTTCCCAGCACCCACGTGAGACAGTTCACAAATACCTGTAACTCTAACTCCGGGGGATCTGATACCTTCTTTGACCCTTGTATGCATGGGGCTTCTCTGTGTAGCCCTGGCTGTCCTGGAACTCACTTTGTAGACCATTTTGGCCTTGAGATCCACCTGCCTCTTCTGCCTCCAAGTGCCGGAATTGAAGGGATGCGCTGCCACCACCCAGCACATACCTACACTCAGGCTTCTATATGACATAAATAAAAAGAAAAATAAAAGAGTCAGCAAGCCCTAAGGGGGCTCCGGTGCTAAGAAAATGGCGGGCCTCTAATTTAGATCACCAGCAAAGATGGCTCAGCAGGAAGAGACTTTCTGCCAAGCATCGCCACCCAAGTTTGATCTCCTGGAATTCACTTGGTGGAAGGACAGAACCAACTCTCTCAAAGTTGTTCTCTGACCTTCACATGAGAGCTGTAGCATGCTCACACATGCCTGCTGAGTTAACAAAGGTATTTTTAAAAGATTGCCTTTGCCACCTAAAAAGCATAACGGGTACATTTTAACGGAATGGTATACAACATCTTGCACAGGGATTGTATGGCGATGTTCCTGTTTTTCAATCAAACCAGCTGAGAAATGGTATAATCAAGATCCACAATTCAGTGATCATGGCACCTGACAGTAGCTTTCTGAATTCGCCATACATACATACATACATACATACACACACACACATACATACATATAATCACACACATGTAATTCTGTGACAATCACAGAACTGGATCTCCGTTTCCATCTCTGTCAATGTCATGGTTGATTTCAGTCACCATCTTGACAGGAGCCAGAATCATCTAAGACAAATCTCTGGACATCTCTATGACATATCTAGAAGGAAGTTTCTCGATCAGAAGTACGGAGTTGGGAAAGCCCATTCTATGAGCGGCACCATGCTAAGGACGGGAACTGTGGGCTGAGTAACAGGGAAGTGAGTTGAGCCTCAGCATCCATCTCTCTGCTTCCTGACTTGGGGATGCTCCATAACCAGCTGCCTCACCATGGTGGACTGTGATAGACTGTACCCTCAAATTTCAAACCACAATATAGTCTGTTGTTGTTGTTGTTGTTGTTGTGGCTGTTGTTTTAAGACTGGGTTTCTCTGTGTAGCTCTGGCTGGCCTGAAACTCCCTGTGTAGACCAGGCTGGGCTTGAATTTAAGAGATGCCAGCAGGGGGCTGGGATGGAAGCTATGCACCACCACACCTAGGTCTTTCCTTCCTTAAGTTGGTTTTGTCAAGTATTTTGTGGCAGCAGTGAGAACAGTGGCTGACAGATACTCCCCTGGCTCATTTTATGTCTACTTGACACAAGCTAGAGCCACCATAGAGGAAGGAGTCTCAGTTGAGAAAATGCCACCACAAGATCCAGCTGTAGACAGACCTGTAGGGCATTTTCTTAATTAGTGACTGATGGGGGAGAGTCTAGCTCACTGTGGCTGGTGCCATCCCTGGGCTGGTGGTTTTGTAAGAAAGCAGGCTGAGCAAGCCATGGGGAGCAAGCCAGGAAGCAGCATCCTTCCATGGCCTCTGTATCAACTCCTACCTCAAAGTTCCTACCCTATGTGAGTTCTCGTCTGACTTCTATTGATGATGAACTGTGATGAGGAAGCATAAGCCAAACAAACCCTTCCCTCCCTGACTTCCTTTTGGTCAGGAAATTTCATCACAGCAATAAGAACCTTCACTAAAAACAAATCAAATACGCATGGCACTGAGTAGCAACCGTTCAAGGTAAAGAATGCAGAGCTGAGACTTGCAATCCACACGGACACCTCTCCAAAGTGCAAAGATTAAGACTGTATCGGACATGAGGAGACAACGCAAAAGTCAAGGAGAGACAGGGATCAGACTCAATACACCCAAGCACTTAACACAGCACAAAGTCAGCAGAGGGGTTAAATGCATGGGAAAGGGCTGTACCCTCCAAGACGAAGACAGTGGCTAAGCTGGAGAGATGGCTCGGCGGTTCAGAGCACTGGCTGCTCTTCCAGGACCTGGGTTCAATTCCCAGCACCCACATGATAGCTCCAAACCATCAGTAACTCCAGCTCCGTTTGATACGATGCCCTCTTCTTGTCTCCAAGAACATGACACATACATGGTACACAGAAGCACATGCAGGAGAACAGCGTACACATGAAATAAAAATAAGGAGAAAGTATTTTTTATTTAAATAAATACTAACAAGTGATATTATTTTTTTATTTAAATAAATAATAACAAGTGATATTATTTTTTTAATGTACCTGAAAACAAAATGATCCCAGTTTCCAGATACACTTTATTTAATTCTGATACATATATAATTACTAAGCACTTGTTATTGTCATAATTCTTAGAAGCTGAAAGTCTAATGCAAAATTAAGATTTAATACTATACTGCACAGGATAAAAGTTTAAAATCCTGAAAATTCACATAGCCCCCAGTAGAAAAAAAAATATACCAATTTAAAAGTGTTTGATTAAAAATGAAATGCACATTATAAAACCAGACAAGCTCAATAACCTCATTTATAGAACATGAGCCGTATGGTGTCAGACAAGAAATTCATGATTCATGCGTCTCTCTTGCCTACTGGCCTCAATCAATACACCCCCAAATAAAAAATCAATATTTGCTTTAATAACAATGCAATAAACAACCCTAATGATAATACTAAAAGATGGATTTGTCCAATAATGTTTTCAGTAAACAGAATTACTTTTCTTCCATAGGACAGTGTAGCATGCACAGACCATGTAAATGGAAAGGTGATATGTCTTTAGGATGTGCAAACAGTAGTAAGGAATTTGTAATAATAGGCCACCTTTTTAAAAAATGATGTGTGTGTGTGTGTGTGTGTGTGTTTGCAACATGTGAGTGCAGTGCCTATGGGGGCCAGAAGAGGGCACTTGTCCTCTAGAGATGGAGTTGTGCTTCGGTTATAACAGAAGCCACTTTGATGTGGATACAAGGAAGGGAACTCTGGTCCTCTGCAAAAGCAGTAAGCCATCTTTCTGCTGTTATTGTATTTGTTTTTGTCTTTTAAAGATTTATTCATTTTGATTTTCTTGTATGGGTGTTTTTCGTGTGTGTGTGTGTGTGTGTGTGTGTGTGTGTGTGTGTGTATACCACACTCACAAAGTGCCCATGCAGCTCAAGAGGGGCTAGCCACAGCTAGTGTCTGGAACAGGGGTTCCCACACTATCCTCACAGAACTAATGGATGTATCATCATAGAGAAGCACCAACTGTAACCAAGAGAGCCATACTCTTGGAGACTTTCTGGTCCTGGATAGCTGGGAGTCATTTAGAAACAGAGGACTAAGCCAGGGTACAGAATCCTCACTGGTGACTGTCTCTGAAATGGTCTCACAAAGGAACACAGACAGGAGTCATCCTGAATAGTGAATGGCCATACAGAATAGTTACAATGATGGCCTTTAGGCTAGGAAACCTAACTTAGGCCTACATTGTTCTTAAATTATCTACTCAACCCAGCACTGTGGTACATTTCTACAGTTCCTGTGCTCAGAAGGTGGAGGCAGCAGCAGAGTTCAGGGCCATCCTCGGCTATCCACAGAGGTCAAGGCTAGCCTAGGCTACAAAAGACCTTATTTCAGCAAACACACACACACACACACACACACACACACCAAAAGCATGTGATAGGGCTCTCTTCCACACAGAGCTGTCCAGAATACTCCTGTGATAATAACAGTAGGCCAGATGCATTGTTACCCTGTTTGGTTACAATGAGAATTTGTAGCAAAACAAAACTATACGGAGGGCCAGTTTCTTTTTGTGGGCTTGTTGTTGTTATTGTTGTTATTGCTGTTGTTGTTTTGAGTCAGGGTCTCTCTATGTAGCCCTGGTTATCCAGGAACTTGGTATGTAGATCAGGCTGGCCTTAAGTCTCAGATATATCCTCTTATCTGTCTCCAGAGTTTTGTAATTAAAGGCATGCACCACCGTGCCTGGCAAGGGCCCTATTATTGATGGTGTGAATTGGCTTCCCTGGTTAAGATGAAAGCCTTCCCACTGGGCGATCCATGGCCTTACCTGGCTTCCTCCAGGACTTTCCCCATGACTTCCTTTTTTTCTTCGTGATTGGCATCTTCATTTAAATCAGTTCCACCAAAGATGACCCCGAAAGGAATGCCATGACCTACAGAATGACAAGTGGAGCAGACTGAGCATCAGGAGGCGTCCCCTAATAACTGACCCTCAGCCAGGAAGTGAAATCACAAGTTTCTATAACACGGGGCTCCGGGGCTTGTCAGTTTTGAGAGAGTTCTGTAGCTCAGGTTGTCCTTGGACTCTCAATTCTCCTGCCTCAGCATTCTCAGGCTACAATTACAGATGTGCACCACCACTCCTAGATGTGGTATGTGTGTGTGTATGTGTGTGTATGTGAGTGTGTGTGTGGTGAGGGTAAGGAGAGGCAGAGAGACAGGAAGGAATGAAGGAAGGAAGGAAGGAAGGAAGGAAGGAAGGAAGGAAGGAAGGAAGGAAAGAAGGAAGGAAGAGAGGTGTGTGTGTGTGTGTGTGACAGATGTATATATATGTGAGAGAGACACACATGTGTGTGAGTGTTTATGCATGTGTGTGTGCTGTGCATGTGCCTCTGTGTGTGGGTGTGTGTGAGAGAGAGGGGGACAGGGGGGAGGGAAGGAGGGAGAGAGAGAGGTAGAGAGATAGAGAAAGAGGGAAGAAGAGAGGTATGTATGTGCATGTGAGAGAGACGGGGTGTACTGTGTGTGAGAGGTATGTGTGTGTATGTGTGTGTGTATGTGTGTGTATGTGTGTGTATGTGTGTGTGTATATGTGTGTGTGTGTGTGTGTGTGATGAGATGAAAGGGAGGGACGCATTTGCCACAGTGCTGGTGTGAAGGTCATAGGACAACTTTGTGGAGTCCATTCTCTCTTTCCACCTTTGTGTGTTCAGGGAATTTGAGTGGCGAGGCTTATAGAGAAATTAGAAATTGCCTTCACCCAGTGGGTCATTTCATTGGCCCAACCTTGTTCTTGAGGCAGGGTGGCCTTGAGCTTGGTATTACCCTGAGGGTGACCTCGAACTCTTCATTCTCAGGCCTCCCTGTAGGCTAGGCCAGGGGACTGAGATTTCCCCCCAAGCACTGCCACACCCAGTTTATATCTCTCTAGAAATTGAAGGAGGCTCGGCTATCGGAGTTCCAGCCCCAGGCCCGAGGTGTGATGTATTTTGTATCAGTTTCATTCTGGGGAAGAACAGGTATCACTATTAAAAACCTGTATGGAGGGCCATTGAGATGGCTTAGCAAATAAAGGAAAATGCCACCAAGCCTGATGATCTAAGTCCCATCTCTGGGACCCACACAGTAGAAGGAGAGAATTGTCTTCTGACTTCCACAAAGATCTCTCCCCAGCATGACCGCCACCACCATCATCACCACCACCACCATCATCACCACCACCACTCCAAACACACAAATAAATACCTGTACAAAGAAAAACCCACACTAAGATTAATCATGTCAAGTTCTGCCCGTGATAGTCTGGACTATTTTTCAAATTAACTGGCTTTCAATTTTAAGCGGGCAAGCACGCGCGCGCGCACACACACACACACACACACACACACACACACACACACACACACACGTTGTTCATCACCATCTGTCTATCAAGGCCAAGCTCACCAGTCAGGGATGTGATCAAAGAACTCGTCAAATGAAGCCGAGGCTGGCGGAAGGAGAGGGTCCTGTTTTTCACATTCTAACCTGCAGGGGGCAGCACTATGTAGTGCAGCCTGTTACACATCGGCACCTGGAGGTCACCAGGCATGGCCTCTCCCGCATGATCACCAGCTTCTAAAGCCAGGCTTGTTCTGTAGACCAGGCTGGCCTCAAACTCAGAGATCCACCAGCCTCTGCCTCCAGACTGCCCCATCGTGTTCTGCCTTAAAGTGTCTTTGAATTCAGTTCCCAACACACGGGGTGTGGTGGCATAAGTCTTTAATCCCAGCATTCTCTGTGTCCCAGACCAGCCTGATCTACATAGCGAATGAGTTCCAGGTTAGCCTTGGCTCCGTGATGAGTGGAAATAAGATGTCATCATTCAGGGCTGGAGAGATGGGTCAGTTGTTAAGAGTATCAGTCATTTTTCTAGAGGACCCAGCATTCCTGGCACCTATATGGACTCAACTGTCCTTAGCTCCAGTTCCAGGCTCTCCGGTGCCCTCTTCTGGCAACTGCAGGCACGACACTCACACATAAAAATAATAGTAGGGCTGGACATGGCGTAGCTATAAACGGCACTGGCTGCTCTTGCACAGGATCCAGGTTCATTGACAGCTCACAGCTGTAGGAAACTCCTTTTCCAGGAGATCTAATAGTTTCTTACAGATTCTGTGAGCACCTGTAACACATGTGGTAAACGTCTGTGCGTGCATGCAGGCAAAATATTCTTACAGGTGAAATTGTTTAATTAGGAAAAAAAATGACGCCGCCGGGCAGTAGTGGCGCACGCCTTTAATCCCAACACTTGGGAGGCAGAGGCAGTCGGATTTCTGAGTTCGAGAGTTCGAGGCTAGCCTGGTCTACAGAGTGAGTTCCAGGACAGCCAGGGATACACAGAGAAACCCTGTCTCGGAAAAAAAAAAAATGACATTACTCCTACCTGATTGCTGGAAGAGACCTGGCAAAGACAGAGGGTGTTTTTGCTTTATTTCAGGTAAAATAGCTGAAGCTGAGCGGGTTGGCTCACACTTGCAAGCCAAGGCAGAAGGATTGTCAGGAGCTCAAGGCCAGCCTGGACAGTAAAATGGCAAACTCTGCCTCAAAAGTCTGAGTGTGGTGGTGCTTCCAGTAACCCCAGCATTTGAGAAGAAAGAGGAGAGGAGGTCTAGGTCAACCTTATCTACTCTGGAGTTCAAGGCCAGCCTAGGCTACATGAGACCTTGTCTCAAAAACTCAAACCAAGCCTAGCAGAGGTGGTGGACACCTTTAATTCTAGTACTTCCAAGGCAGTGGCGGGTAGATCTCTGAGTTTAAGACCAGCCTGGTCTACAGAGGGAATTCCAGGACATCTGGGATTAACAAAGAAACCCTGTCTCAAAAAATTAAAGCCAAAACAAAAAACAAACAAACAAAAAAAACCAAAACATACAACAAAAATTACATATAACTAGGTCAGTGAGAGGGCTCACTGGGTAAAGGTGCTTGCCACCAAGCCTGATGACCTGAGTTCGATTCTTGGGACTAACATGGCAGAAGGCGAGGACACTATAAAGTTATCCTCTGATCCCTACATGCATGCATGTATACTGTGGCTCACACACCTTCCTAAACAAATCAATTTAATTTAAAAATTAAAGACTACCAAACTATAAGTTGTACATGATCTCAATTTTAAAAACATACAAACTACAGAACAATGATATGGGGTGGAGCGTTTGAATTGGATCCCTACCCAGTCACAGGATAGCCTAATAGACTGGTTAATGTTCTTAGTCACATGACCCCATCTGCTTCCTTATTGGGCACTAGCCTAGGGCATATTCTTTATCTTCATTAAAGCACTGTAGCCTGCACCAAATTAACTCCCAAGTTGTGTGTTTTATAGGCTAGTTAAAGTATATGAGAGAGTTCCCAGAATGCACCTTGCACCAGTGCCCTGGCTATATTCCATCTTAGGAAGGACAACTATAATATTCTGTCATTAGGCCAGGTGGTGGTGGCACACACCTTTAATCCCAGCACTTGGGAGGCAGAGACAGGCGGATTTCTGAGTTCGAGGCCAGCCTGGTCTACAGAGTGAGTTCCAGGACAGCCAGGGCTACACAGAGAAACCCTGTCTCGAAAAACCAAAAAAAAAAAAGAAAAAGTTCTGTCATTAGACACTTGAAAAATTCACTGATGTACACAGGGGGAAAATCTTTTTCATACATCCCCAGGAGGGAAGAACAATTCCTTTGGGTTAATTCAGGGTTCATATGGTGACTCTGGAATGTTCTTTATAAGAGAATCTGGCCACTGTGTCTACAGCTACTATGACTTCATTTTCATGATCAACTTGACACAGCCTAGAATTACCCCGAAAAGAGAGTCTCAATGAGAGTTTGTCTAGGTCAGGGTGACCTGTGGGCATGTCTGTGTGGAGACTGTCTTAGTTTAATTGATGTGGGAAGACCCAGCCCACTGTAGGTGTTACCATTCCCTAGGCAGGGGGTCCTGAATTGCGTAAATGTAGAAAGGGCCATTTGTAGGAAACGTGCCATGTGTGCATTCATTTCTCTTGAGGTCAGATATCATGTGACTGGCTTCTTCAAGTTCCCCTCAAGGATAGACTGTACCCTGGAACTGTAAACCAACCCTTTCTCTCTGAAGATTGCATTTGTCAGAGCATTTTATCACAGCAACAGGAAACTAAACTGAAACACCACCCATGGAGAAAGCCCAGAAGGGAGGCAAGAGGCTTCTTGGCCAGAGCTGAGTAAGTAGACCACTGGAGAGAGACAAATGCTCTGACCCAGGGCTTCCACAGCTTTATGAGACCCTGTGCTGTGAATACAGGCATGTACCATACCATGCCTGGCCTCAGGACAACACTTAAATGGTTATACAGTACAGACATCACCAGTATCTATCTGTTCTGAACTGGCAAGGTTACCAAATTTAGATAATCATTTAATAGAAAAAGACAGAGACCTTGTATAATCCTTCAGTTGGTCTTTGGGTTACCCCACTGTTCTTGGCATCTGTCATTTTTCAGCACTCCCTCACGCCCATGTGACTTTGGAAGTGTAAGAGGGGTACCTTGCAGAAGTCTGCCTCCTCGGTAGAGGTGAAGGGCTAGTGCTGCTTCCAGATTCTGGTCCACGATCAGGTTGGCAATTTCAGATGGGCTTTCAAAGTCAAAGGCATCTCTCAGAACGCACATGTGGCCTGCAGCTTCTAGGTGGTCCCTTTGTTTTGAGAGAGAGAGAGAGAGAGAGAGAGAGAGAGAGAGAGAGAGAGAGAGAGAGAGAGAGATTGGTTGGGTGGGGGTGCCAGCTTGGTTAGGGTGTGTGGTGGTTTGAATACCCTTGGCCCGGGGAGTGGCACTATTAGGAGGTGTGGCCTTGTTGAAGGAAGTGTATCACTATGGGAGTGGGCAATTAAGACCCTCCTCCTGAGCTAGAGAGATGGCTCAGTGGTTAAGAGCACTGACTGGTCTACCAGAGGTCCTGAGTTCAATTCCCAGCAACCACATGGTGGCTCACAACCATCTGTAATGGGATCCAATGCCCTCTTCTGGTGTGTCTAAAGACAGCCACAGTGTACTCATATACATGAAATAAATAAAATAAATCTTTAAAAAAAAAAAAAAAGACCCTCCTCCTAACCACTTAAGAACCAGTCTTCTCCTAGCAGCCTACAGATGAAGATGTAGACCTCTTGGCTTCTCCTGCACCCTGTCTACCTGCTGCCATGCCTTGATGATAATGGACTGAACCTCTGAATCTGTAAACCAGCCCCAATTAAATGTTGTTCTTATAAGAGTTGCCTTGATCATGGTGTGTGTCCACAGCAGTAAAACCCTAACTGAGGAAAGGCTTTGAGTAAGTTTTACTAGTAACACTTATTTTCTGAGCTGCTTTTTTGGAGGCAGTCTGTACTAAAACACAGACGGAAGCCTGAAGATAACAGCAGTAGCCATCCATTCCCCCCAGCCTGCAGGACCCGGGACTGTGGCTGGGATCAAGGTCAGTGCAATCCCAGCTTTGAGACACAAAAGCTTCTCACCACACTCAGTGACACATTAGTCTACCTCAGGGCTCCTTCTGCACCGCTCTGAGTCCACTCTTGCTTTTGTCCACTGTCCTTTCGCTTTAGATGGCACCCAATGTGCATCTTACAGTAGCTGTCATTCTTTTTTTTTTACATTTCTTTTAGGTTTATATTATTTTATGCTTATGAGTGTTTTGTCTGCATGTGTCTGTGTACCACATATAATGTTGGTACCCACAGAAGTCAGAAGGTGTCAGGGCCACCAGTACTAAAGTTCTAGATGATGGTGAGCTGCCATGTGGGTATTGGGGACCAAACCCATGTCCTCTGTAACAGCTTCCAGCATTCTTACCCATGGAGCCATCTCTCCAGCCCCTGTCACTTATTTCTTTAATGATTTCAGAGGGCAGGCATGATGACTCCGTGATGTAAAGGCACTTGATGGTAAGCTCGACTTGATTCTAACCATCTGAATCTGATCCTATTGGGATCCACACAATGGAAGGAGAGAACCTACTGTCCCAAGTTGTCCTCTTACCTCCACATGTATGCCATAGCATACAGCATGTGAGGTCAGCCCCCGGCCTCATGCTTCCTGCTCCACGGTAAATTAATAAATGTAATCTTAAAAGTTTTAAAGACTGTCCACCAGTATGTGCCCCCATCTTGAATCTCCAGAAGTAGGAACTCAATAAACCTCAGTTTCTTTATGATGCTACCCAGCCTCAGGTTATTTTGTTACTGTAATCAAGACTGGACTAGCATGGGTCATTTGGGATCCGATGTGCTGTGGAAACAAAAAGGCCTTAGGGAGAGGCATCAGGCTGAGTGAGTACTCTGTACCATGTTCACTCCGGGATATAGGGTGGGACCTGTCCCCACACTAACATGTGAGTGCGCACTTCATTGTATAAGGTAAAGGCATATATTACATAACATGCTAATGGCACTGTGCAAATCAAGCAAAACCTAGAGCTGGAGAAATAGCTCAGAGGTTAGAATAGAACACTAGCTGCTCTTGCAGAGGATCTAGGGTTCAATTCCCAGCACCTATCTGTGACTTACAACCATATGTAACTCCAATTCCAGGGGAATATGTCACCCTCTTCTGGCCAATGTGAGAACTTCGCACATAGTGTGTGTGTGTGTGTGTGTGTGTGTGTGTGCGTGCATGTGTGTATAAAACTTTTGTTTGTTTGGTTTGTTTTTTGAAACAGGGTTTCTCTGTGTAGCCCTGGCTGTCCTGGAACTCACTCTGTAGACCAGGCTGGCCTTGAACTCAGAAATCCGCTTGCCTCTGCCTCCCAAGTGCTGGGATTAAAGGCGTGCGCCATCACTGCCTGGCAATAAATTTTAAAGAACAGGATTGTTGCTGGATGGAGATGGGTGAAGTAATTTTTAATCTTAAGTCATGAATATGTAAATTGGTCCCCTTTTTCTGGAAATGATGAGATCCAATATATTAAAATTTCTCTCTCTCTCTCTCTCTCTCTCTCTCTCTCTCTCTCTCTCTCTCTGTGTGTGTGTGTGTATGTCTGTGTGTGTGTGTGTGTGTGTGTGTGTGTGTGTGCTGGCCTTGAACTCACTCTGTAGGACAGGCTGACTGGGATACCAAGCCTGTGCCACTACACCTAGCTCATGTTACATAACTTGGCTGTCCCATTCTCATTGTTAACTGTGATCAGTCATCAGAGGTCAATAGTGCTGCCCTCCCCACATTCGACATTCCTCCCCCCCCCCAACACTGGTGGCACCTGAGAAGCACCCACAAGGGAGCCTGTCAACCCTGCAGCAATTGCTTCCCTCAGCCTGAAACTCACATCATTCGAGAGTCAGAATTCTATGTGTTCTGGGCAGACGTGAGTAACTGCTATTCCATCTCTGGAAAGCTCTAGGAAATGAGAAGCTGTTGGCAGATGGCAGCAACTCTGAATTCTACTCCAGAATGAATACCCGAGAGATCCTTGACCTCTGCTGAATTCATTCAGAAGGGGGGGGCATTGCCGTGAATGAGAAGAATCATGATTACAAGTTGTTCTTTGCCTACTAAATGCCCTTTAAACAGCACTGTGACACTCACTGCACCGTCTTATAAACATTCTAAATAAAAAATAACTGTAATCTTAATACTCGGTGGACTGGAATCTTACTCCGGTGCCTGGCTGACTTATAACACTTTCCAATGACTGTGTCTCCCTTCCCTCTCTCACAGGATAACTCAATTCAATAACAAATTCACAAAGTACCTATTATGCCCAAGGAAGTATGGGTTTTTTTATTTTCCTTCCTAGCAACAGATTTTTTTTTTTTTTTTTTAAAAAGGAGCTGAGCTGGTCATGGTGGCCCATATCTGCTCAAGGGGCAGAGGCAGGTGGATCTTTGTGAGTTTGAGACCAGCCTGGTCTACAAAGCAAGTCCAGGACAGCCAGTGCTCTAAAATCCTGCTTAAAAAAAAAAACAAAAAACAAAAAAAAAACAAGAGGGGGCTGGAGAGATGGCTCAGTGGTTAAGAGCACTGACTGCTCTTCCAGAGGTCCTGAGTTCAAATCCCAGCAACTACATGGTGGCTCACAACCATCCGTAATGAGATTGGATGCCCTCTTCTGGTGTGTCTGAAGACAGCTACAATGTACTCATCAATAAAATAAATAAATAAATTTTTTTTAAAAAAAAAAGCTGATAAACACACACACACACACACACACGGATGGGGAGGGGAAGGGAAGAGGAAGAGACTTTAATAATTGGCTCTCATTATTTCCAGGAAAAGACCAATTTGCATATTCATGACTTAAAATTAGAAATCACTTCACCCATCTCCATCCGGCAACAACCCTGTTCTTTAAGATTTATTTTTATTGTTTTTTAATTATGTCTATATGCTTGAATGTGCACCATGTGCATGCAGTACCCAGATAGGCCAGAAGAGGGCATCAGATGCACTGGAACCATCGTGACAGGCAGTTGTGAGCCACCATGTGGGTACTCGGAACTGAACCTGGGTTCTCCGCAAGATCAACAAGTGTTCTTGGCCTCTGAGCCACCTCCCCAGTGCCATGAGTCATACACGTTCAAAGGGCAGGTTTTACAGTGTGTTGAGTGTGGCTCAGATGGGAAAGGAAGAGGCATTTCGGCAAGAAGCCTTCTCAGATGCTGTAGCACAGGCCAATTCCCTTTCCCAGGCTGTCATGTCTGCGCGCTTCTCTGTCAGAGGATTTTCACACTATAACTGGGTGATGCTTTGTGTGTTTACATGCCAGAACCTTCTTCCAAATGGTCATGCTTGGCTCTAACACACACGCACAGCTCTGGTTGCCTGGCTACTGGCTTCAGGTGTAGCAGAGGTTGCTGGGGGTGCCCTGCTAGGTGAAGACTCACATAGCCTTTAGTATTCATTTGTCAAGTGTCTAAATGTTAACTGCCCTCCAACACCTGCTATTTATGTTAAATTTCAAAACCCAGACAAATGGCTGAGGTGTCTTGTCGGGCTGTGTGTCTGCCTCACTGCTGGGGTTCCCGAATGCTGCCTACAAGTTACTAAGGGGAGACAGAAGAAGTCCATGATAGGGGTCCCAGCAAGTATTTTTCCGGTGAGAAATAGTGGGGTCTGGGACAGATGCTGTGTTTCCCAGCCTCCTGTGTACCCAGGCTCCACTTTCCCTACACCCCAGGCAGGAAGGGGATGGCTGAGCCTGGGATGGGTGGGGGTGGGGGTGTGAGAATCCCATTTGGTTCCGAGTGAGTACTGAGGGCCGGCCAGAAGATAGAAGACCTTCTCTGGGAGATTTAGGTGCATCTCTTTACAATGAAGGTCTCTGCCCGCCAGGTGGTGGTGGTGCACACCTTTAATCCCAGCACTTGGGAGGCAGAGGCAGGCAGATTTCTGAGTTCGAGGCCAGCCTGGTCTACAGAGTGAGTTCCAGGACAGCCAGGACTATACAGAGAAACCCTGTCTCGAAAAACAAAACAAAACAAAAAAAGGAGGTCTCTGCCCAAAGCGATCCTTGATGAAGGAGATGGTCCTTGCTTGTCCAAACTGTTTTATTTGATTGTGGATGTGAATACATACATCTTACTCGATGAACCAGGGATTAAATACTTTTTGTGGGAAGGAATGCCCGGGAAGAAAAGCTCATTGGCTAAATGCTCCGGTCCTATCTAGATACCTCATTAGCACGGAGAACTCCAGGTCTTT